TACAAAAAATATGAGTGCCTTGACGCTACTCGATGAAAACAGTGTAATTTTATGAGCAAAACCATGGAATAAATTGTTAGTTAAATTTTATGAGCAAAACCGTGTAATAAATTGTTAGTTAAACTCGTTGCATAAAAAAATGGTATTCCGGTGTTTTGATCATATTTCTACCTAACCATTAAAATTAGTTTTTTTACTAAAAAATAATGAATATTTTTCTCGGTTAATTTGGTGTACATGAAAATAAGTATGTTGTAATTAATATAACGACGATAATCAAAAAATCGTATTCCGGTGTTTTGATTAATTTTCTACTAAACCATTAAAATTAATCTTTTAAATAAAAAATAATTAATTTTTAATCACAGTTAATTTGGTTTATATTAAAATAAGTATGTTGTAATTAATGTAACGACAATGATACATGTAGTTTGAGTAAGAGTATGAGTGTCCGGTTCTTTCGCCTTTGACTGTACTCGATGTTACCCGACGAAAATCTGGGCAGTGGGGATCGCAGTGCGTAGAGTAGGATAGCGTTGCATGGCATCGGGCAGATGTGCACGGGGGTAATACAATGTTATGAAAAATTGGGCTTTGCATTTGCGTCGGGTAGCCATATGGTAGGGTTCCATCGGGTAAGTGAATTCCCCGCTTTAATACGTGCAGAAGACCTTCCTCATTCTTATTCTTCAATTAAATGGGACCCATTGAGCAGGCTTTCTATACATTCCCGACATATATGCGGGTTTTAGCCCAAAATTAAGTGGCAGAGTTTGCTCTATTCTTAGTTGGGAAAATATGGTTCATCTTCATCAAATCAGATCCTCCGAGAGCGATGTATCGACCGTGGCGATCTTGATTGGTTAGAACTTCTATGTCGATCTTTCACTGGCGCTGTCAGCGAAGACATCCTTTTCAAGAGCTTAGCTCGTTAGACGACTCGGATTGCATGGCGAAATCGTCCAGGACGAGTATAGCAGGAACGATCCAGGGCGGAGACAGCCGGTTGCCAATTCCAATGGTCATATCTATACTGCTTTTCTCTTAGCTCATTTATGAGGTTAAGCAGGAAATATTCTATCAATCAACATTTTTTCCAAACCATTATCTCCCGCCAACACTAAGCTTATAAGTCTGAATTTATTTTACCAGTGTATGTCTTTTTGTGTTAACTGTGTCCTCAGTACAAGGTTTAGGTTTCATAGGTGCTTTATTGCTTAAAAATATATTATACATGTCGGAATCCTTGTGTTTAAATTTTAAATGAAACGTGAGATAACAGGCTGGTTCTATTCACTATGATTTGTTGTAATATGTGTAGAATGGACGCTTCCATCAATTGAGTTAGCTGGACAAGACAACTAGAGGATCACATGACAGAGCGAATTTTTATGTATTGAATGCGCAGTGTCGTGACTCGTGTCGGCTTAATATCGTGCAGTCCTCGTTGTACATTTTTAAATAATAAAACGACTTTTTTTTGTTGCAAGTGTTTTCAAATACTCTTTATTCCTCCCACTTCCTACAAATGTGTTATTTTTTAATTTATTTTTGTGAGTGCTTTCGTCTGATGTGTTTTTGAGATGGATGATATTTGAGAGAATGAGTTACGCACCTGTGCGAAAATGTTGTGAAATTAAATTATAATTTTTAAAAATAAATTAAAATGAACTTTAAGGTTGACAATAATAAGATTTAATATTAAATAATGGGAGGAACCAATACCAACCAACTGAGATTGAAAATTGATTGCTAATTGGTATCCCTCCTCTCCTTAGGATCTTAAATATAAACTATGAAGCATATATTGTCTCTTTGTTCTACATATGTACCTTATAATTTATTATATATATTTTTCTTATAGAAGATTTCTGTTGTATGTTGTCATCTTTGAAACCCTCTACCTGTTTATGATCGGGACGGATTTTTGCGGTAGAAAAGTTTTGTTATATGCGCGTTATTTGCGGGCTGAATCGTGTCATTATGTCAGACATGATGTGAAAAGGAAGGTATTTCCACATTGTCTCTTCGGCTTTTTCCGCGGATTTTAACGACGTATAATTACGATTGTGAGACCAGAAAGTTATGAGCTGGAATATGCAACGGAATTAATGTCCTGCTCTGGGCTTACAGCAGTTAGGCCGCATATAATAGGTCACTACGACGACGGATTTTTTCGGACAACAATTGTACTCTAGACGTAATAATCAATCACACAACGAAAATTTTCTATCTTTTCAGTTGTTTCTAGACTTTAAGGTTTATTATTTTGAAAATTTAACAATACTTAATTGAAATCAGCAATATGCTTGATAATTATGGTCAGCAAGAATTAAAAGCCTAGGCAAGCCCCGGAGGCCATCAATAATGATGAAATTGCCGGAGAGTGATAAACTGCAAGATTTTATTAGCATGCAAATAATTATAAATAGGTTTATTTATTATATTATCGCTTTTAGATACAAGCATTATAATAGGATGCAAATTATTTTGGGATGTCGCGTAATTTCAACTACAATCAGTGCCAATTTCATGACCTAACAAAGAAAAACCTAAGTAAAATCTTATAGCCTTCACCTTGTCCTTCGTAATCCTTGTTCACCCTGAAATAAAATAGAATAAGCAGGAAGATGTTTTAATGTGATTATAAATTAAACCATTCCAACTGGCTTATGGATATAGTAATAAAATTTAACGGAAAAATTGAGAGATAACATAGTTTAGTAATTATGAAATACATAAAAGGTGCAGTATTAATGAAATGAATCCTTGAAAGTAGAAGACATAAAACGTAAACTAAAATGTAAATAAATAAACTTAAACTGGTGTTGTTTGAAATGAAAGGTGTGTCTCTTATCATACATATTAAAAGATGTTTTAAAAATTTATATTTGTTTTTTTACATCACTAATAGCAAAAATCCGCTGATATTTTTTTATTTTTAAAAAATTTGGTTTATTTATTATTAATATTATTTTCGAATTTTTTAAAAAGGTTTTTGAGTTGGCTCCATCCATTGCCATAAGAATTGTAACAATTGTTAAATAAAAAATACAAAAATACAAAAACAAATGAGCTATATGCTATATTTTATTGCCTAAAAAGGTTGATCTGTACCGTAACAATTTTTTGGGAAATAAGTGGTGCCCACTAAAAACAGTGATGTAGACCGCAAACATAAGAATGTTGGCATTGTCATTAGTTCTTCATTCTTCTAGCGATTACGTACTGATATACATATCAATAGTAGAGATGGGGAGTCGGTGGCCGCATAGGTCATAATCCATCGGCCCGACATAATTAGAAATGGGCAGTAAATCAGATTTTGGATCTATAAGTTGGAGATAAACAACGGTAACAACACCTTGCTAAGATGCGTCGCACAAACCAAACAAAACAACCGAACTAATAAGTTCAAACCCATCAGAGGCCATACAGGAGGCGGCGCATATAGGACTTCAGTAATTGTTTTCAGAAATAAAACTTTTTCCAGTTTATCTTTTAATTAATAGAAATAATCACTCGTCCCATCTCTAATATTGTACTGTAGTAGAATAGAATGCTTTACAGAACAAAAAATTAACGTACAAATTTCTAGAAAAGATTTCGTTTTGCAAGCAGGGACCATTACACTTAATTTAGCCGCAGTACTCTAGATAACGTTCCTTAGAGATTTAGAAATTTACCTCACGAATCAAGAGAATATATATACATATATATATGCTCTCTCTCTATAAATATATATATATATATATATATATATATTCTCTATNAGTATATATATATATATTCTCTTGACTGCTATTACATCAAAATATAAAACACATTTATCACTCCCATCTTTATGTCTTTATGCCTAGCTTCCTTACTAAACACGTCATTGTTTTATTCTATTATTATTATTAATATATTATTATCACAAAAAGGTCGAAATTTATTAATTAATAACTACAATTATATGTGCTTATGTGCTTTATAAATATAAATTACACTGATATAAAATGTACGCGTGTCACTCGAACTTTTGAATTATTTAATAGTGCCGTATACCATGATTTATTATAGCTTTCTAAGTTGTTCCAAAATTTTACATATATGACTACGCATTTAATTAAACAACATAATCGAAGGTTTAAGTTTTCATAAATGACTGGGGCTATGAAAGAACTAATTCGGGTCAGAATTGTTAACGCCTCACGCCATTTATACATAAGCCCTTTCATTTAATTAAGTGGTGAAAGTGCTAAGGACACTATCTGTGGCCCAAGTTCATAGAGGAAGTCTTATCATTACAAACGATTGCTCCACATGCCTCGGGAAACAGGGTTTGATTAAAAAATGTCGATTAAATAAAAGCACATCTCTTACTTAATCTTGTGAATAAAAGAAATATTCAATAATATTAAATAATAATATAATAGTAATTATAAATAATAAACAAGCCAGATGTATTGATTATTTTCAGAGCTATTTTGTAGGTTAATTAATGTTTCATATTTTCCAGCTGCTATTATTATTTCCCATTAGTAGTATTATTGTCGTTGCCCTATCTGAAATGCAAAATTTAAACCCGAGTTAAAATTTTCACAAATAAAAACGTAGGTTCAAACTGACCAGTACACAAATAATTTAAAAAATAAATATAAAATAATATGTAATAATATAATAAAAAATATGTATCGCTTTAGAAAGGCAAATAAATGTCAAATGCAAAGCTGTTTTCATCCAACAGCGAATAACTAGTAAAAGTTTTTGTCTAAATGTTTTTCTGTCTTAAGTTTTTCAACAAACGTTTTTATCTATTTTATATTGAGTTGTTGTTTTACTGCTGCGATAAAAAACAAAACTGTGTTTTTAACGGTTGGCGAAGGACAAATGGGAAATAGGTAATATGGCATTAGGATAAATTAGTGTACAAAAGAAAATACAGGAAGGTTATACAATCATGAAAAACTTGTACTTTCGTAGATTTCACTGGGTAAACTGACATATGGACTTACCGACATTGTTGACCTCGCAGGGCAAGACGACCATGTCACCTGTGACTACCCTGTACGTGTGCGCTTTGGATTCGAAAGACGGCATGAACTCCAGCTCGGTACTGGGAAAGATAGCTGCGACTCCTGGAAAATGAAAAAAAAACACGTTATCAACGAGAAACTCCGTTATTGTGATTACCCAGGGTAGGCTGTATTCAGATGGTCATTCACTTGGTAATGTTGGTCATTACAAATGGTGGTATGTCGGATTTACTAATTTGGCAAGAAAAGTTGATGTTTAGTGCAGATCCGTTTTGCCAAAGACATGACCTCGTAAAAAATGTAAATAATACGATCTATATTTTACTACAATATTGGAACCAAAAGCGCTTTACTTGACTATACCTCTTAGTGCAGCTGTTGTATTACTAAAGAAACTTAGTATTTGTATTTGTAACATTTTTGCTAAACTTTACTTTTATCACTATGTATTTTGGCTGGAATAAAATTTATAATTTATTTGCATATATGTAATGCAAATATGTAATCAATTATTTTTATTTTGGCGACTGTTACATTGGTTATTTTGCTTGACATTACTCTGGTAATCAAAGAAGCTACAAAGAAAGTAAACGGTAAGTACATCTAGATCGGGGCTTCCCAAACTGTGGTCCGCCGACCCTAACTAGCGAATTTCGGGAAATGTAATAGTTACAAAAGTAAACGGAGAACGAATAAATAAAATTAAAACTAATAACAATGATTACTGAAATAGAAAGTTTTTATTTAGAAGCAGTATGTGTTCTCCACAGACAAGCTTTAGCTATGAAACAAATTCCAGCTTCTTTTAAGAAAGAATTGGATGAATATGTTCGAATTATTAATTGCATCAAGTTACGGCCGTTGAAGTCAAGACTTTTCACAATATACGGGTTGATACCGGAAGCCTTCATCATTTCTAGCTTCACCATGCAGAAGTTAGGTGGTTGTCTGGTGCGAAAGCACTTTCACGATCACAGTCTTATCTCTGTTGTTGGACCACAATTTCAAATTGGCCAAGTTTTCAGCGATGAGGAATGGCAATGTATACTGTCGTGTTTATAAGATATTAATTAATAGTAAATGAGATGACTCTTTCTCTGCAAGGGGAGAGTATCACATTTTTCGATTCCAATCACAACGTTCACGCCTTCAAAAGAATGATTCAGTTGAGAGGAAAAGATGGATTGGCTTCCTACCTTAAATGATTTTTTAAAAGAAAACAAACTGGAGCTTGCGACCGTTGATTGATCAAATAGGTGAACACCTTCGAAGTTGTGAGATATCTTTTGAGCACTACTTCCCAAAAGTTCAAGATATTGTGCTGCAAAACCATGAATGGGTAGTCAAACCGTTTCCAATTTCGCCAAAGACAACCAGTCTATCTATACAATGTTATATCTATAATGTTTGATAGACGTTACTTCAGACTTCACCTTGAAATATATTTTCGAGTCCGATAGTTAACCCCATTTTTGACTCTGTCTGGAAAACAAAAATTTTCAACCGCTCGTTGAAAAAGAAAAACGTCTTCGTCCGTTTGTCACAACTTACATATCCGAATCTGGATTTTCTACCTATACAGCCACCAAAACTAAATACCAAAGCTGTCTAATACTAAAACCGACATTCGCCTCCAGCTATCAGCAAATTGAACCTAAAATATCCAAATTGTGCAGGCTAAAACCATCTCACTGATCCCATTAAACATTAACGTTCAAAATATTACTTTTGAAATTGGCTGGAGTTTTACATACTCCGTTAGGTTTCGTGTTCCGTTTGACCATTGACCGTTGATAAAAAGTCAGTGTCACGAGCGGGATTCGAACCCACGACCTTTGACTAAATACGCCGCTGCTCTACCACTTGAGATATCGTGACAGCCACGATACCTCATGGTGGAGCATCGGCGTATTTAGCCGAAGGTCGTGGGTTCGAATCCCGCTCGTGATACTGAATTTTTTATCTCAACCAATACCTTACTTAAAGATTAAGTAATTGAAAATTTACATACTGTTGATTCCGACCTGTTCAATTTGATTTTTGTGTTCCGGATTTTGTAAATGTAGTTAATATGTCAATCTAATGTTTGTTATCCTAGCGATCATCACCTAATTAGGAATAGACTGGCTAATGCTAATTTATAAAACTTTAATTTACTACATGTACTAGAAGTATCTAGTTTTAAATACTTAAATGCGAGGGGTCCGCCTAAATTTTGTTCTGTGAAAGGGGTCTGCTGGCTAGGAAGTTAATAAATTAAGGGAATAATTTGTTACAATTAAAAATTATCTAATTAATCTATTATCTATTATAATATTATTTTCTATTATATTTCTCTACATTTTTTATGCCGTTCTCAGGAAAAGAAAAGAAGTGGATTTAAGCAGAGGGAAAGTTGACTGTAATATAGATAAAAAATAAAATTAGAACACGTAATTCGCCAGTCCGTAAATGATTAATTGTTATCATTATTATGTTTATTATGCATCTAACAATTATATTAAAATATTTATGAGATAATGCATGTTGTGAAACAAAAGCGACAGTTGAAGGAATGTATAAAGGAGATTTTATTGGCATTCGCAATCGACATGGGCGCTGCGTCGTCACTTCTTCGCGTAAAGGATAATTTTCGTCATTAATTTCAAGGTTGACATTTTCCCATCCATAATTACGTTGAATGAAACTGTATAGAATCAACAAATTACCATAATACCCTGATTGAAGTCTGACAGCCGGAGGGTTTTGATAAATCGTCCGAGCCCTTAAATAGTAAAAAAAGCGTGATTCTTCCTGATCTTCTGATACGACGGCTCATCGCGAGAAAACGTCGAGCGAACATCCATGATTGATGAAGCCCAAACACTTGACTGTGAATCACCTGCTAATGAATCTCGATTGTGTTCGTTAGCGGCAGCGATTACACGCTTTGATAATCTTTGCAATCGAACTTCTGATTCAAACTAAAAGTCGTTCAATATACAAAACTTCCTTGGAAAAGAATAAGAAAACAGTAGAATCCGTTATACATATGAGAGGAAAAATTTTGAACTTCAAGCATTTGAAATGGCGCAACATCGAGGAAAATAAACGCATAGAAATTAAGCGAGATGTCAAATAATGGGGTACGGCAATACAAAGATCACGGAAAGAGGAATGTATTGGCTACCCTTAGGATAGTCATATATATATTATGCAGGGTGGGCGACCAAGGCCCGAGGGGTTAAATGCCTGGGTAGACTCGTACCCCATCCATAAAAGTTCCGGGACTTGGTCGGCTCACGTGTCCTGTGTAAACCTCTTGGACTTGTTCACAAACCCCAAGATTTTGGACCATTTAATCTCGGGGAGTGATTTGGTGATGTCCTCTCCTTCAAAAGTCTCGAATCTAGACCTAGCGTACCTATCGCACTCTGCGAGGTAGTGCCGTGCCGTTTCTTCTTTTATTTCACAAAAACGGCAAAAGGGGTCTGGTAGAATACCCATTACGAAGAGGTTTCTTCTCAGTGGGCAATGGCCCGTCAGGATACCTATCAGCCTCCTAATTCCCTTCCTTGAGTTAGAGAATAGACATTTCGATTCTACTCGTTTGATCTCCTTAGCAAACTCCTTCGATTGCCTGAGTCACACAAGATTGACGCAAGGTCACCTCATGACCAGAGAACCTTCCCCAGCATGCACAACTTGCGGTGAAGTAATCACCATAAAGCATATGCTGACATCATGTAGAAACTACGGAAACCTTAGGTCAAATATAAGCTTGAAAATAATTGTATCGAAATTATGAAAGATTCCTTATCTAACATCCAAAAGCTGTTCAGCTTTGTTTTCAGGGAGGTGAGGCCTGTCAATGTCCTTTACTCTCCTGACTCATTGACTCATCTTATTCTCTCATTACCTCATTTGAATCGAGATAGCTTTTGACCCATCGTGGTTGTGTGCACAAAAAATGGTGTTGTTACATACGTCATTTTACTATTATGTCATTTTACTCAGAGATCCACACACATGCCTGTAACATTGTCTGTGAAATTCTTGTTGGAATATTATAGAATGATTATTTGGGGATCGTGAGATGCGGTCTTCATTGAGATCATCTTCAGGGCCTAGGATTTATAAACATTGTTTAAATTTTACAAATACATGTACGATGTGAAAACAAAATGAATTTATACAATCCTAGTAATTTTAGATTTAATGAAAGCATTTCTGCTCACTCAAAATGTTTGTTTTCTGTGTAGATGTGTCATTCTTGTGTGTCGAGTTGAGAGTGCACCAGAATGATACATCTACCCAGAAAACAAACACTTTGAGTGAGTACAAATACTTTGATTGAATCTAAAATTTCTAGCATTGTATAAATTTATTTTTATGTCACACCAGACCACACCTCACGATCTCCAAATAATCATTAACTAGCGGTCAGTAAACACCACACATTATAGCATGTTATAGAAATTGGTTAGAATATTATAATACGCTTTATGGCATAGGTAGTTAATAAGATTATGGATATGAACCTTTATTTAAGTTTTGCTTGTCCTTTTCATTTTTATTAAAATAATTAAAATCCTTTGATCTTTCTTCTGAAAAATTGTTCTTCGTGCCAAAGAACTTCAGGCCCGTTATCCCCAGCATTTCCAATTGTAGTTCGATCGTTTTATTCTTTTCTCATTCTTCATGAACTGTTGTTAATTGTTAAATCGAGTTTCTACGGTCACGTAATTTCCACCTGCGTGATCTATGATATGTGAGCCCGGCACCCTTTGTGCACTCTGACACATCACGTAGGTGGGCGATAGGCCGTGGATAATCGCAGGCGATAGAAACGTCAGAATAAGGAGAGGACGAGGCACTGCCGATTTGTTCTGGTATGATTTTTCGGTGTGTTGACCTTCTGAAAAAAGAGGGAAAATCAAAAAGGAATATAATTTTTCAATTCATGCTGTTGGCACTGATGTTGACGCTTCACAAATGGAAACTAACATAATATAATGCATCCATTTCTCTCCGAGGGGGTAGGCTGTGCATTTTATTGCGTTTTTTTTTTGTATTAAACCGTTCATTTATAAACCGGGAGGAAATAAATCCTGCGTAGTCCTTTAGGCCGTGACCAAACGGAATTAAAGGCGGCTTCCCGCGCGGTTTACGTCAATCACGAGACGAGACAACCTCACTTTGGGATAATCCAAGGATTTTGCCAAAGAGTGAGTGAGTGAGAGAGAGCGAGAGAGAGAGAGAGAGAGAGAGAGAGAGAGAGAGAGAGAGAGAGAGAGAGTGAGTATGTTTGTGTAAGTGTTTCAATTCTTAAATGACATGAATTTTAGTTTATTCTCTGGGCTGTGCTTTGAAGTCGTAATATTATCTGGCCGAGAAGGTTGAAGTTTACAAACGTCGAGCCCAAATGATTTATATTACAACTACTCAACTGCTTAACATAAATTCAAAACGTACTGCTTAGAATTTTTGAAATGAAATAAATTTATAATTCAGATGCGAAAACAAACAATATAAATGTTGATTAATTCAAGTTAGATTAGTGAAAAACTGCATTGTTTGGCTAAAAGACCACAATTAAGCCTTTCCTTCGAACAAGTAGGTTGCTACCAAACATTGGGACGGTGTTTTATTGACCCTCGATGGGGGTTGACTCTGGTTGCGTTGGGATCTGATATGTACATTCAAAGACATCCTTAAATTTAAATTTGTAATTCTATCCTATATGTCTATATGTAAGTACATGTTTTTAACAGATTCAAACATTGTAAAACATTGTAAATTAATCAGTTTAATAACTGAAGATTCCTGAGTAAGATGGATCACATAGGATCACCGACTTGAGTGATTTTTTTTCGTAATACTACGTCGATAAATACTAGAACAATATTTTTAGGATCGAGCGTTCTTGCCGTATCTTATATATTTGTAAAGCGTGTTTATTTCTTTGTTATGCATGTATTTCGAGGTTATTGTACATCACTAGATTCCTTGTTTACGGATGTTAAGAAAATAATATGTAAGAATTTATTAAACTAATAAAACCTTACCAAAACGAAAAAAAAAACGCTTTCAGTAAAGCAGTCCACAAAAATTGCTTTAAAAAATTGAATTACGTTTCCTCACCATTTAATCACCATAAATACCATTTTTATAGCTAACAAATGTATATTTTGGGCTAATTGGTTGTGTGCATTTTTAAAATTTTACAATGTTCCACTTAAAAATCCATTACACCAATCTCGTGCGGATGATGTTGTCAACCTCCAGCAATCGAGAGAAGGGAATCGATCAGACGTTCGATTCATTAATCGATATAAGTAAACAGGCGTATGGTATGGAAAAAAGGATACTAGGAAGAGGGGTATCATAAGGTTGTTGTGTTTCCCCAGGTTTTATTGATTTTGGACGCATTCACTGACTAATTTTGATGTGATTCTTTTACATGCTAATGCTTTAATTTTTTAATTTTTAAATTGAACGTGTTGTTAATCACCATAAATACCATTTTTATAGCTAAAAATAGATATCTTTGGACTAATTAGTCGTGGGAATTCTTAAAAATTTACAGTGGTTTGTTTTCGACTTAAAAATCCATTACACCAATCTCATGCGGACGATGCTGTCGACCTTCGGCAATAAGACGTTCGATTCCTTAATCGATATAAGTAAGCAGGCGTGCTTAACCAACTTCGGTTAACGGTTAAGAATGCGGTCTTGAAATGATATAGCAATGGCGAGCGCCAGAAAGAGAGAGAGAAAGAGTTAACATACAGTGAAATAAATTGAGTTTGTACAAATTATACAAAATATAAAAATAATAATACCAATAAAAAGAATTTAGGGAAAAATAGTAGGAATACAGAATACTCTGTCTTGTTCGATCATGATCACAGACACTTAAAATTTGAGAAAAGGAAGGAAACAAGAAATATTTCTTTTTCGCGCGTTTCAATTCACATTTTTAACAAAAGTATAATTTTTTATTACTTTTATTTCAACCCTTCTATCCTCGAAGTAATGAATCGATGTAAAAAATTAAAAGAAAAGGAAAACTTCATTCCGCCCACAAAATCTTACCTAAAACGTAAACTGATCTTACTTAAATTATTTAAACTAACGATAAAAGATAATATGCGTTTTAAGAAAAGAAAGCGGGCATCGGGAAGGTTCAGATTTCAGGAAGCAGAGGAAACAGACAGGTGACCAGACGGGTGTCTTCCATTGAAGGTGTCCTGGATATCCATTATGCACACATCTCACGAACCAAGACATAGGCAATGGATAAGTTTATGCGTTTCGTAAAAGAACAAACGATCCAAGAGCCAGGCTGCTGGTCTACTATTCCCATTTCAAACATTTCTTCAGTGTGGCCAGGAGTGCGGTCAGTCTTAATCGTATTGGGGTAATGACTTCAGAGCTTCGCCGACCAGAAAGTGTTCAGGCGTCAGTACAAGTTACAAAATGTCGGGGACGAATTAGCGGTTGTAAACGGTCAGTAGTCCTGTGTGAGTTGGTATTCCATCGAATTCACAGCAGAGAGGCTGCTGGCAATTGAAGCTCCAGTCAACCGTACCCGTAGACGTCGATTATGCAAGATGCAATAATTTTTTAAAATTTTATTATATCCTTGTTTTTACGAGGATTTACAACAGCAGAGGTCACATCAACCTCCGGAGACTCGGTTGAAAAACGCCCATTTGTGCGTACTCGAATTAAGGACCGCTGAGATTTGAACAGGGGTCACGACTGATGTGAATCACCTTGTCAACGCTCAATTGGGGCCACCAATGGAAAGCTCAGAATTTAAATAAATATTATTTATTTAATCATCTGTACGTTTTAGTTTAATCAGCTTAGAACACATTTCTACGCTATTTTAAATTAAAATAAGAATGGAGGATGGCAGCTGCTTCATCACCTTGTGAGAAGAAAATAATTTCCTTTTTCATGAAGATCAATCTTATATGTTTAAAAATCGTTAAAATACCGTGAACAGTTTTTCTTTTCGTGTAAAATTAAGCTTTCTGCAAAAGATTCACGAATTGATATTTAGAGTAGTCGGGACAATGTATAGATTCATGGACGGCGTTTTTCTAATGGTTGTCTTTGTCAACGAGATACGTTCAAAATCATGCCATTTTTAATATTTATTTTTGGTAAACTTTTAATATTAGTTTTTTTTTAATATTTATTTTTGGTATCAGCCGATTGCCAGAGCCACTTGCAACATCAAGTCATGATACAGTCCTCTACTGCAGAGATCACCTCAATAGAACAGGAGCTTATTATCTTAGAGTATCCTACCACATTTCCCATTACGTTTTTTATAGCACTTAGCATCTTCTTTCGTTTCTCTTCGTAGAGTGGACATAGAATGATTGTATGTTTCAATGTATCAATCCTACCACACGTGCACTTATCTTGTACTTGGTTTATCTTTTTTAAATAATATTTACAGACACCGTGATTGGACTTAAGCCTCACCATCAACCTGCACGTCTCTTTTTTAAGGTTGATCGTTGCAAACCAGGGTGTTTTTAAAATGGCAGGAAACATATTTTTATACAGCAGGCCCTTACCACACTCACTGTATTGATTCTGCCAACTATTCATGCCTCTCGCCTTGGTCATGGTATGGTAATCTGATATTAAATAATGTTGGTTCTCTGTTTGATTTTCTCGCTAACAAATCCGCTTTTTCATTTCCATAAATTCCACAGTGAATTTATTTCAATTCAAAACAAGAAGAGTTTTATTTCTTTATTTCTTCTCATTTCGACAATTAAGTTCCTTATTTGTTGTAATATGGAATTGTTTAATTTTTTTGCATTGACTGTTTTAATCGCCTCCAACGAACTTTTGGAATCCATTATTACTGTTGATTTATCGGAAGTATTTGAGCGGGCATAAAGTAGTTTTAGATAGTTATAAACCACAAGACAAACAAGAACCAAGAAGCCAAGAACCACATGGTTTTATTTTTTACATCATGTGTATGATTCTTTGTACTTTTACATTCAACAAAAGATAACATTTTTTATTATTACCAAGTTATTTATTATTATCAAATAAAATAATAAAAATGATGCTGGAAGGGTCAGTGACGACCGAGTCAGAATCTCAGCCGGAGGATAGAATTGAAAGAAGAAAGCTTATTTCAAGAATATACACGATCGTCATAGTTCAACTGATTCTCTGTCTAGTGATAGTCTTTGCGGTGAACATCAACGCAAACGTCCGGGAATTGTTGTACGACAAGCTATGGATCGGATACATATTCTGCATAGCCGGCATTTGCTTTTACATTCCGCTTATCTGCTTTGAAAGTGTCAGGAGGTTGTTCCCGGTGAACTGGATCCTACTAATCAGCATGACTCTGTGCTACTCAATTTTCGGCGCGATTCTCTGCGTCTTGCACGAGCTGTACGTTGTTTTCTTCTCGATCTTGGGGACGATGTGGATACTAGTGGTAATGACGATTTTCGCCAGGTGCACGAAAATCGACTTCGCACGACCTTTCGTCGGGATGTCTTTCTGCGTCAGCTTCGTCGCTTTCCTCCTCCTTGGACTGATAGTCAATGTGATATCAATATCCGTGCCCATCCCACTCATACATCTCCTCTTCTCGGGCGTAGTCGTTATAACTCTCTCCTCTTACATCGTCTTCGTCACTCAGCTCATCGCCGGAGGGAAAATGTGCGAAATCAAACCGAACGAAACCGTATTCGGGGTCGTCATTCTTTACACGACTGTTGTTCAGATATTTATGCACGTTCTTAACATTGTGGGCGCCTGCTTTGGAGAAAACGGTTAACATGAACGTAGACTCTTTCCTGTTATGTACATAAAAGTATTTGAAAAAATGGGATTTGAGAAGGACTCGCGTTTTTATGTATTTTGACGTAAATTTTGTAAAAAACAAAATGCATCTCTAAATAAAGAAAACTATCTATTATTATATTCAGTGCAAAATAAATGATGGTTTTTAATATGATCAGATGTTTTAATTACTGAAAGTGTAAATCTATGACGTAAGTGTAAGATGTGTTAAAACGTACACATGCAAGATGTTTAAATTTTTTAGAATCAAACTTTTATTATTAAATATTCTTTTTTATTAAGTCTATTCTGATATATGGTGTTGTAAATGAAAAAAAAAATCATTATTTGACATAATTTTCATGAATTAAAACGAATGACTGTTAAAAAATCACTCCTTAAGGCAATTTTTTAAAATACAATTTAGACAAATATAGAGTTTTTCTATAGAAAAGGTGATCCTCCAACGTAAGGAACGTCTTGACATTTCGGCCTATTTTATTTTGTGCATGTGGTAGATTAGACCTTTGGGCACGGGTAATTGTGCCCCCAGTGCTTTGTGCGTCAATTTACATTTTCTAGGGATCTATTTACATACTACAAAGGGTGTTTCGCAACTTAGGCAACGAAGCTTAACCGTTTGTCTATCGCTGAAAAGTAACTTGCTACGACTTAAACTAACACTAAGCCCTTTTAACTTTGTACTAATGTATGAATATTTGACGAAAACCTTCTTTCAAATAACACAACGCTGCGCTGTTAAGTACCAATGAAAAATTTTCTTTGTTTTCAAAAGTTATAAAACAATAAATATCATCATCATTCATCTGAATTAGTTTATTACCAGCTTATCAACTTTTATCTGAATCCAATAGATATAATAAATAAACTAAAAATTGACTACAATGTATAATTTAACACAAATGGACATTAAGTAACAATTGCAACATTACGTCTAATTCACTAGTTTTCGTGGTCCGCTTGGCCAATTAATATCTTTAAATTAATTAAGGTTGTTAGTTGAGTTAAGAAAGTCGTGTCACGAGCGGGATTCGAACCCACGATCTTCGGCTAGATACGCCGCTGCTCTACCACTTGAGCTATCGTTATCCACTAGGACACTAACTTCCCATCTCAACCCCACCTTTTACTGTCATACGTCTAGTTTATACATCATCAGTCATCAGAATTAATTTATTACCAGCTTATCAACTTTTATCTGAATCCAATAGGTGTAATAAGTAAACTAAAAAATGACAATAATGTATAATTTAACACAAATAGACATTAAGTAACAATTCCGCACAGAATGATATTTTAAATTCTGCTTTGTCATTTTTACTTTTTGTGGCTAATAAAATTTAATTGTTTTTTGGGCTTTGATGGCTAAGCTTAGATATATGAGAGAAAATACAAGTAAAGCAACTTATTAAAGAAAATGACAAATGTAAACTTCTATATTTTTGATAATAATACACAATATTTGTAGGTATATATTTTCCAAGAAAGCGAATTAACGAAATCGCCATTTAAAATACTGCACTCCTTAACTTATTTTTACCAAATCGCCATTCCAATGAACTTACATGTAGAAATAACATTAACGTTAGATATTACTATTCAATATGTAATGTATAATATGTATTGCAATTAATATTGTAACATCTTTATTTGTTTAAAAAAATTGAAAAGTAAGAGATATTTTGGGGGAATAATATACAAATGGCCGATTAATGCAGATTAAATTACTGATCGATGGTCACTGAAAAAAGTAATTAGCACAGAACGGTTTACATTGCATTAGTTTTTAATACTTCCTAGTATGATATAAACAGAAACCGGGATTTAGGGTTCTTTAGATGCAAAAAAAAACATTATTTCTGGGCAAAATAACGCTTAATATTAACTAATAATTTTTCAATTAATTAATCTTTATGCATGGTATTGGTTGAGATAAAAATGTCCCACCTCAATCCCACCTTTCGAATTTTTCCTCCTTTTTGCCATTTTTCAAATGTCGTGTAATCTATTCGATGCTCGGCGAATTGTCGTGAAGATAGACTTCATTTTACTTATTAAATTCATTAAATCCTAGATGTTTCATCAGTGTTTACCAACATCCCAATAGACACAGCACTGAACATTATTAAAGATAAATGGCCCAACATAACACCACACACAACTCTATAAAAGAACACGTTCATTACAATGATCCGACACTGCTGTGTTAACGGATAGTTTACATACGACAATCTATTTTACAAACAACTGTTTGGTATAGCCATGGGTAGCAACCTAGACCCGATACTGGCAGACATAATCATGAAACATCTACTAAATACAGTCATACCACAACTTCCCTTCACATTACCCTTCCTCACTAAATAGGTAGATGATATATTGACAGCTGTTCTCACAGATCAAATTCAAACTACATTAGATACATTTAATAGCTTTCACCCACGCCTACAATTTACACATGAAATCGAAAACAACAAAAAAATACCATTTTTAGATACACTCGTAATAAAACAACCAGATGGCACATTAATCACAGATTGGTATCAAAAACCAACAAACACAGATCGCTACCTCAACTTTACATCTCACCATCCCCTTCATACAATAATAAACACGGCCAAAGGGTTACTTCACAGAATGATTGCCTTAAGCCATGAATCTTTCCACCGCAAAAACATAAAGATATACAAACAGATTCTCCATAACAACCTCTACCCTAAACACATAATTAACAGAATAATCAACAATTACAACTCAACACTAACACCATAAACTATTACTAATGATACTACATTAAATCTATCGAATACAAACAAACCAGGATACATTTCCAAACCAGTTATCCAAGGCCTATCACATAAATTAAACACATTTTTCTTGTCCGATAACTTCAAAATTGCTTTCAAAAATTATAAAACAATTCAAACACTTTTTTCCAAAATTAAAGATCCACACCAATAACAAATAAATTTGACGTAATCTACAAGATCAACTGTTTAAACTGTCAGGCAACTTACATTGGTCTTACATCCCAATATCTGGACAAGACAGTAAAGCAACATATCTATGATTGCCAAAAACCTAAGCAAAATCCTACAGCACTCCCTATCCACCATCTAGAACACCAAAACAATTTCGACTTCAAAAATCCAAAAGTATTACACACAGAACAAAACAAACATAAACGTAATTTCTTAGAAATGGTTTATATCAACAGAGAAACACAGCATCAATTACAGAACCGATACATGTAAACTCAGTCGCAGCTACGTCAATATCATTAATCAAATTTAATACAGATAACATACCTATATCATCACATTACATTCCACACATCAATTATTTTTCACATAGTCTAATTTCCCAACAATTTAGCTTTCCTTTTCCTATTTTATCCCTTTCTATATAATCCTGAAAGGATAATCTGGCCGAACCATTACCAACACATTTTTTCCCTTCGTCGGCTCTTTTCACCTCAAAGAAGCAGACGCCTTATACAAAAATGTCTTTTCTATACCGACATCCTTCCCCACTCCTTCAAAATCCAACGTATATAAACACAAAATCTCACTGGCACTCTCGACACGACACGCAAGAATGGCACAATTACACAGAAGACAAACACTTTGAGTGAGTAGAAATACTTTGTTTGAATATAAAATATATTTTGCATTGTATAAATTCACTTTTCCACATCCAAAATGTAATTGTAATATGTAAACAATGTTTGTGAATCCAGGCCCTGAAGATGATCTCAATAAAGATCGAAACGATGGCACGATAAAGAATATGTTTTTCTGAAACCCACATCACATCAGACCGCATCTCACGATTTCTAAATAAATATTATTAAATTCATTAGAGTTCGTGGTCCGATTGACTGAATAACGTTTTTCAATTAATTTATCTTTATGTATAGTATTGGTTGAGATAAAACGGAGGGAAGTTAGTGTCCGAGTGGATCGGAATCACGATAGCTCAAGTGGTAAAGGAGCGGCGTGTTTAGCCGAGGGTCGTGGGTTCGAATCCGCTTGTGACACTGACTTTTTTTTATCTCAACCAATACCATACATAAAATTGAAAGAAGTTATTTGGTCAATCGGACCACGAAATATAATGGAGCTATTAACTATATTTCCCAGTCGGACCACGAACTCTAAGAAATTAAATAATAATGTTAACTCAATTAAGTAATTTAAGTAAAGAAGAGATGGATCCAGATGAGGTCAAAAGAAATTTGGATCCATCTCTTCTGTATTTAACGTTCAATTTATTCCCTTAATCCGGCATTTTTTTAATTTGGCTACCCACTAAATCGTCACGGGCTGTTAAAGACGTCTTTATGCTCTTACCGGTAATTCATATTTTTTAATAACACAGGCTACTTTCTTTAACCCTTAATTAGTACTCCTGTGAGTAATAATTTCACAACAATACCCATTCAGGAGAGTTTAAATCGATTTGGATTTAAGGCGTTGCAAAGTTTCTATTCTTTTCATTTGCATTGTATATAATCACTAATTTGGTATAAGTATTTAGATAAGAAAGTAACATTTTCTGCTGAAATAATAGCAATTATTCAAATTTATTTGACGGTTGAAATTTTGAAATCACATTATAATTGAAAAATAATGGCGTCTGGTCAACAAGTCCGTTTCTGAATATCTGGCCTATATTTGTTTTTCAAGTGTATTATTACTCAGGCATAGTAGATTTTTGTCTGATGTATTGCCATTTTAAATAAACGGGCTCTCCTTCCAAGAATAAGGGATGTATGTGTGGAAATCAGGGAAGGGAAGCTGTTCTGTTTACACTGGATTTGCAATTCAGCCTTGAGGCGAACGATGTGATAGATAGCCTTAGAGACATACAATATTCATCAGGGCGGAGACACTCGACATCCGATTCTAATTATTACTAGTCGCCAATTGTTGGCTATCTTTCCTAGAAACCTTTCCGATAAGAAATCAACTTGGGTGAATCGACGGTTTATTTCCGTCGAAATTGCAAGTTTCAATCAAGGAAAGTCGAGCCTAATGATTAATTGACGAACAACAAATAGTACGAACGATAAAAAGGAACCTCTAACAACACGTGTTGCTCTTATATGTTGTAAGCTAACCTAAAGAGATAAAT